TACAAGTTCCAGCTCCAATTTCTCAGTGATGAGATACCAATTGATATGGGTGTTTATGGAAGCTAGGAATTCATGGTAAATTTGAGAATTTCAATGGAATAAAGAGTATGGATTCTTGCAAGAAGAAAAAAATCTGAACTTCTTCTAGGAAATAAGCAATGAATTATAGAAAGGATACAGGTGTATTTGAATAAAAAATGCTAAAAGATAACAAATAACTTATTGAAAGGTTACTTATAAGAGACCAACTAACTTTCTCTCCACTATTAATTAATTAGTAACTAACTTGTTGAAATTGATCCAATGCTTAATTAGCTTTTAGTTTGAAGCTTTAAAGAGTCAATTAGAAAAAAATTTGTTTTGGGAAACTTTAGTTAGTTTTGTTAGTTTTCAGTTTTGGTAGTTTTGCTATAAATAGAGTTGTATCTCAAATTGCAAAGTTAAGCAATTCAATTCATTCAAGAAGTATTCAAGAATCACATACTCTCTTTATCTTTAACTACTCTTCCCTTCTAGCACAATTTTAACCACGAATACAAGCTCTGCCATTTTCGGTTACTGTTCATCATCTCCTACCTCCAGCTTTCTTCGATTTTTCTGCATTTTCTGTTTTGTCTACAATTGCTTGAGTTCCAACATCTGGTATCAAGAGCTTCAGGTTCAAGGAAGATTCAATAAGCAATGGGATCAAATAATGGAAACTTTACAACCACCTTACCTATCCTAAATGGCAAGAATTAGAGCAAATGGAAAATTCAAATGGATGCCATCCTTAGCTTTCAAGATTTGGGTGATCTAATTGAAGATAGTCTTCAAGAGCTTCCAGAAAACCCAACTGAGATTCAGAAGCTAGACTTCAAGGAAAGGAAGAAGAAGGATCACAAAATGAAGTTCTTGCTTCATCAATGTGTTGATGAAGCTCACTTTGAGAAGATTGCAGGAGCTGCAACTTCACAAAAAGCATGGAGAATCTTTGAGAAATGTAGTGAGGGGGCTGGACAACTCAAGAAGGTGAATTTGCATACCTTAAGGCGCCAATATGAAATGATGAAGATGGAGAACAATGAGAAGGTGGCTGACTACTTCAATAGGATCATTGCAATCACTAATGCAATGAAGACATGTGGCAAGAATATCAAGAACAAGTCAATTGTGGAGAAAGTTCTTAGAACTCTTCATCCAAGGTTTGATCACGTTGTTGTGGCTATTGAAGAGTCAAAGAAGCTGGATGAATTGAAGGTAGAGGAGTTACAAGGTTCCCTGCAAGCACATGAGCAAAGACTCAATGAAAGAAGATGTGAAAGATCCTCTGAAAATCAATTCTTGTTGTCCCAAGCACCAAGAAGGAACTACTCAAATGGAAGAGGTGCTTCCAATGCTTGGAGCAGAAGCAGAGATCGGAAATATGGTTCTTTCAAAGGGCAAGAAAGATCTGATCAAGAACAAGTTGAGAGTTCTAACAATAGAAGAGGAAATGGTGCTTGGAGAGGTGGCAAGAAGAGAGGTGATAAAAGCAAGATTAAATGCTTTAAGTGCAACAAGCTTGGCCAATATGCAAGTGAGTGCATGACATCAAGGAATTATGACACTCAGAAAGCAATTCAGCCAAGCAACCATCAAGCACAGATGGTTAGAGAAGAAGGTGAGTCAAGCATTGAGGAGCAACCAATCATGTTCATGATGACTACCAACCAATAAGCTGAGAATAGTGAGGTGTGGTACATAGATTCTGGCTACTCCAACCATATGACAGGCCACAAGGATTGGATTACTGATTTTGATGACAAAAAGAAAACCAAGGTTAAATTGGCTGATAACAGATCAATCACAGCTGAAGGTATTGGAAATATGATGAACAAGAGAGGTGATGGGAGTAATGTGGTCCTAATTGATGTTCTTTATGTGCCTGGGATGAAGAGCAATCTTATAACCATGGGACAGCTACTTGAAAGAGGTTTTTCCATCAACACACTCAATGGTGTGATGGAAATTTTTTATGCAGCTGAGCAGAAGGTCATGAGGGTACCATTGGCGCAAAATAGAACATTTCAAGTAAGTCTAAGTGCCATGAACTCTAGCTGTTTCTCAGCTATCAACCTAGCTGATGAATCTTGGCTATGGCACTTGAGGCTAGGACACTTGAACTTCAAAGATCTTGGGTTACTTAGTTCAACAAATTTGTGTTTGGGTTTGCCAACAATAGATGCTCAAAGGAAGGTGTGTGCAAATTGCTTGATCATCAAACAAACCAGAAAGACTTTCAGCAATTACACAAAATCTAATGCCTCTACCATCCTACATGTAGTCTACTCAGATGTATGTGGACCATTTGAAGTTCCATCTATAGGAGGAAATAGATACTTTGTATCTTTTGTTGATGACTTAAGCAGAAAGTTATGGATTTATATCATCAAAGCCAAGAGTGAAGTGTTCAACATATTCAAGAATTTCAAGGTTTTGGTTGAGAAGGAATCAGGAAAGCATATCAAGATCCTAAGGACAGATGGTGGAGGTGAGTATAACTCAAGAGAGTTTGATGAATTCTACAAGGAACATGGCATCACACATGAAACTACAGCACCTTACACTCCTCAACATAATGGCATAGCTGAGAGGAGAAACAAGACCATTTTGAACATGATCAGGTGCATGCTCAAGCAGAAAAGCCTTCCACACAACCTATGGGGTGAGGCAGCCATGACAGCTACATATATTCTCAACAGATGTCCAACCAAGAGGCTAGACAATCTGGTTCCGGAAGAAGCTTGGTGTGGAATCAAGCCATTTGTCAAGCATTTTAAGGTCTTTGGCTCACTCTGTTATAAGCATATCCAGATCAAACAAGAAGAAAGCTTGATGACAAGAGTGAGCCTATGGTGCTAGTGGGATATAGCTCAACAGGTGCATACAAGCTATACAATCCTAAGACAAGGCAAGCAACTTTCAGCATGGATGTTTTTATTGATGAAGCTAATTCCTGGCATGATTTACAACAATAAGTTGAGTCAATTCCAAGACTTCAACTCAACTGTGATGAGTCTACATCAAGAACAGAGGATGAGCATGTGCAAGAGGTGATAGAAATTGAACCTCAACAAGAAACAAGATGCAGACCACCATGAAACAGAAACTTTCCAACCAGATTCAGTGACTATCAACTTGATTTTGATGATGATATCACAAGTGAAGGTGATCTGGTTCAACACTTAGCTCTCTTAGCTGATGCAGAACCTATTGATGTTGAAGAAGCTATCACAAGAAAGGAGTGGAGGATAGCAATGGAAGAGGAATTGAATAGCATTGAAAGGAATCACACCTGGGAAATGGTGGATTTACCTAAGGACAAGAAACCCATAACTGTTAAGTGGGTTTTTAAGGTCAAACACAAGCCAGATGGTTCAATTGCCAAATACAAAGCAAGGCTTGTAGCAAAAGGGTTCATGCAAAGGAATGGAGTGGATTATTCAGGGGTTTTTGCTCTAGTGGCAAGGATTGAAACAGTCAGGCTCATCATTGCAATTGCAAGCCTGAAAATTTGGAAACTATGCCAGTTGGATGTAAAGTCTGCATTTCTCAATGGTCCTCTTGATGAAGTTGTGTTTGTGACTCAACCACCTGGTTTCATTTGCAAAGGGTATGAGAAGAAAGTGTTGAGGCTTAAGAAGGCTCTATATGGCTTAAAGCAAGCACCTAGAGCTTGGAACAAAAGGATTGACTCATTTCTAGCAAGCATTGGCTTCATAAAGTGCATGGTGGAGTTTGGAGTTTATTTCAAGGCCATGAACATATCAAACACCATACTCATTTGTCTATATGTTGATGACCTTGTGATCACTGGAAGCAACTCAAAAGGCATAGAATCAGTGAAGCAAAGTCTGAAGGATGAGTTTGAGATGACTGACTTGGGAATTCTATCCTACTTCCTAGGATTTGAGTTTGCATACACTACTAGAGGAATTCTTATGCATCAAAGGAAGTATATTTCAGAAGTTTTGAAGAAGTTTAACATGCTTGAATGCAAAGCTAATGATATACCAGCAGAAATCAATGTGAAACTTGCAAATGATGAAGATGAGGCAGTGGTGGATGCAAGGATGTTTAGACAGATTATTGGGAGCTTAAGGTACATATGTCATAGCAGACCAGAAATTGCATTCGGTATAGGCTTGGTGAGTAGGTTCATGAGTGATCCTAGGCAATCACACTTGATTGCAGCCAAGAGAATCCTAAGATACCTCAAAGGAACTATGGAATTTGGGGTCATCTTCCCTCAAGCAAGCTCAAGCAGCATGAGTTTGACACTAACAGCCTACTCAGATTCAGATTGGGGAGGAGATCTGGTGGAAAGGAAGAGTACTTCATGTCATATTTTCATGATTGCTGGATCAACTATAACCTGGAGTTCAAAGAAGCAAACCATAGTGGCTTTGTCAACCTGTGAGGCTGAGTATATTGCAGCTTGTTCTGCTGCCTGCCAAGCAAAGTGGCTTTCATCCTTGCTCAAGGAGATGCAGATGCAAGCTGCAGAAATTGTGGAGCTTTTCGTGGACAATAAATCAACCATTGATCTTGCCAAGAACCCCACATCACATGGTAGGAGCAAGCACATTGATACCAAGTATCATTTTATCAAACATCAAGTGAGCAATGGCAAGATTCACTTGAAGTATTGCAGCACTTGTGTCTGACATTCTAACAAAGACACTTAAGTTTGACAAGTTCAAAAGGTTTAGAGAATTAATGAATGTAACTTGTTTGTAATGAAGCTTGGATCAAGGAAGAGTATTGAAATTGATCCAATGCTTAATTAGCTTTTAGTTTGAAGCTTTAAAGAGTCAATTAGAAAAGTTTCTGTTTTGGGAAACTTTAGTTAGTTTGGTTAGTTTTCAATTTTGGTAGTTTTGCTATAAATAGAGTTGTATCTCAAAATGCAAAGTTAAGCAATTCAATTCATTCAAGAAGTATTGAAGAATCACATACTCTCTTTATCTTTAACTACTCTTCCCTTCTAGCACAATTTTAACCACGAATACAAGCTCTACCATTTTCGGTTACCGTTCATCATCTCCTACCTCCAGCTTTCTTCGATTTTTCTGCATTTTCTGTTTTGTCTACAATTGCTTGGGTTCCAACATAACTATCTTTTACTTTTAGAAATTTACCCAGAATCCAATATTATTGTTTTTTGTGTTGGAGGAAGGACTCAAATATCGTTATTCAAGGGGCAGGTTGAAGAGGAGAAGGGTGGATTCAAGGCTAGTGACCGTATCCATAGGCTTGTTGGCAGGCTATAATTATGGCATTAATCTCATCGTTGATATCAATTATGTGATCTTATTTTATTGCAAACTGACTCCTCCTTCAAAACAAATGCTTCTGATGTATACGTTGTTGGTAATGTTGCTACTTTCCCTTTGAAATTGTACGGTGACTTGAGAAGAGTCAAACATGTTGATCATGCTCGCAAATCAGAGCAGGCAGTGAAGGTAAGTTGGAACCCAATATGTCAGCTTCACCAATTATTGCACAAGTACACGTATTACTCGCATGCTTTGCTCAATTAAGAAATCATTAATATCATAATCACCAAATTTTAATATAAAGAAAAAATGTGTGGACTAATAGTGTAAGAGTTTTTTACCGTATCACTGTATTATTCATCATTCATTTTCAATCATCATTGACTCTTAAATAAAGTAAAAGTAATACAAATGAATTATGAATGATATATTGACTGTGTATAAATTTTTACACTGTCAATACATAAATATTACACTCTTAAATATATATATACAATCAGATAATTTACATATTAATATGTGACTTCATATTTTGAAATCATTTAATAATTAACTTGTTTTTAATGTTATTGAACATTTCTCCCACAATATAAGTCATTAGACAATTACTATTCATGCATCATTCATTCGATTATACAATCTATTTTTCATAATCTGCAAGTTGAAAAACTTTTTCTATAGTTATTATTAGGGATGGTAATGAAAACCGAATTCGTGGGTACCCGTCCGATCACAACCTGAATTTAACGGGTTAAACATGTTGTTACTGGGTTCAGGTTCGGGTTTTACCCTGTATTAAATTTCGGGTTCGAGTTTAGTATATGTGATACCCTAACCCGAACTCACCCCAATTGAAAAATTAAATAAACTAATATATTTCCTAAATCCTAACCTAGTTTTGTTACACTAAACTTGAGTGGGGCACAATTAGAAAGAAAGTCTCCATCTTCTCCTTCTCTAGTTCTTTTTCTCCGTTCAGTCTATATCTTCTCCAGTTTTTCTTCGTCTTCGTTTGTCTTCTCCGTTCAGTTCGAATTTCGTTATTCGTCTTCTCCATTTGTCTTCAAGAAGAAAGAGGAAGGGTAAGTCTTCTCCATTCGTCTTCTTCTGTGTTTACCATACATTTATTAGATTAAAACGTATTAATGCATATATAATAAGGCCTACAGTAAATTTAAAGTCAAACGTATTAAGGTATTTTTATTAACTAATATTTAGTGTTCTTATTCTCTATTTTCAATTTCAACTATTCTTTACTTTCCTAATCAGTAAGTACTCATCTTATTACTTTCTAATGCACCTTTTGTGTTTGATTTTATATATTTAGTATAGCATTAGTCTATTTTTATAGTTTGGTTGACCCTGTGATTAAATGAAACAATTCATAACATATAAGTGTAATTCTATTTTTTGTAGTAAATTAATCTCTTCTTTAAGTTTTTGGTATGTGATTACAAGATGATGATGATTAGAGTAAAAGAGAGAAGAAAAGGAAAATGAATATAACATAATATCTTATGAAACAAGATTCATCTGGAGTTCTGGGAAATGTGAGAGAAATGACTTTTCACAAATTTTAATTTAAAAAAAGAGTAAAAATCTAAACCGTTTAAATATAATAAGGCCTACAGTAAATTTAAACTTATGGAGTTGTAGATAATGCATATATTTTTGGGGAAAAATCAGGGAGATTCAGGTTGTGCATTTGCATTTTACACACCCTCAAATGCATGTAGCATCATCTCTGATTGCTGAGAGGGTACGTACATATTCTAAAAAATATCAGTTCTTATTTTTTACTGATTGGATGAAGTATACCTGGATTATGGAACTAATTGAGAGATGAAGTGGTTGAAATAAATTAATTAAACTAATGAGAACCAATAAAAGTTACAAAAATATCTTATCCAAATAATTTATAAACTCTTTTTTAACATGTTTTAATTTAGCATATCAAAATGAAACCTTATCAAAATGTCAATCTGATTCTTGTAGAAATCAAACATATCCATAATGATTAATTGATTATGTATGTGGGGGCTGTCATTCTAAATTCTTGGGTTTCTTTTTAGAATTACACTCACCATCAACAAACATGTGATTAAAAACAAATTAAACATAATTAACTATTTGTTTACATATGTTAAAATAAGCGAAGTGCAACATGATCAACCATTTCAAAGGCGTGCTATTATTACTGATGTTGCAACTTACAAGCCTAGAGAGTTGTTCAAATAATTGTTCAAAGGGGCTGCACAGGTAATTGTCCAAATGGAATATTTTTTATTTATTATATTCAATTAATTAAATAAAATGATTATTTTCATCATGAAATTTACCAACAAAACAACTATACCATAACATTTGATTCCTCTATTTATCAATAAAAATTGTAATAAATGCAAAAGGAAATAAAGCAAATCCGTCACTTCTGAGTATTACTTTCGAACCCCTTGAGGATCTCTCATTCACTCCTTAATAGATGTGTTTGGTCTTTGAAATCTCAATATTTCAAATTTTGTGAAAATCTATTGAACCAAACACCTTACAATTTAATTGTCATTTGGCACCCAATATCAATTCCATCAAAATTGGAATTGGTCTTTGGAATTTTGATTCCAATTACAAACATCACAATTACAATGGCTAGGCACATTTTGCAATTTTCACACCCCAACACAAGTAGCTAAATATTGTAAAATAAAATCCCATAAAATCAAGAAACAACAATTAAATATTGAACCGAATTAATCCAACTGGTTAGATTATTCAAATGAAAAATCGCTATAAAACTTTTTAGAACAAAACTTTGGGAAACTCAACTTCTAGAAAATTGAAAATCTGTCTTTGGACAATCTAAAAATAGATGACTGACTGCACTTAATCGAAGAGACTGAAGCCCATATCCTGCATCACAAACAAATTACTCGATCACATAACATTCTCAACTAATTTTAAATCATAATTTAAAAATATGCAATATATGATCCTATAAGACTGTTAAAGTTATTGCTAGCATCACTCAAAAACAAATCTAGTGTGTATACTGGAATAATAATAAGAATAGATAACATAACAGTGAATGAAGCATCAGAAATAAAAACTTACATCGTCAGACTCCTCTTTCTCTTCCACCTTCTCTTCCTTCTTAGACTCAGCAGCTGCTGGAGCAGCACCACCACCACTGCCTCCACCAGGAGCAGCAGCAACTGCAACAGCACCACCACCAGCGGGCACGGAGGCTAGCTTTTCCCTACCAGAAGCAATAATATCTTCTATATCTTTACCCTTAACTTCAGATAAAAGCAGTTCAATCCTATCATCATCTGCTTCAGCTCCAACTGTACAAAATACAGACAATTTCTCCGTTAATAAAGCATAAACAGAAGTGTCCATGATGTGTGTTTTGAGAATTTAATTAATTTTGAAATAAATGAAGTGAAATTATTACAACATATTTAGCTTAAATACACTTGACACACCCGAGTTTCAAAAACTACACCACAGTGCTTATCTCGGATGTTTGCGAATTCTTTATGTTATCATTATAGCTAAGGTTTTAAAAAACAGAACAAACCGGATGATACAGCCGAAACATGACCGAATTAGCCACTCCCAATACCGAACAGAATGATTTATCAGTATGAACAGAAATCACAGAAATTCGCTGAAATGGAATGACGTTAAAACCATAACAGAGACAGTATAACAGCATTATAGCTGCAACAAGGTGCCATTGTCTCCCTCTGCTCCTCAAACCGTAGTCTCAGGCACTCAGTTGACTTGATAAAGTTCACAGAGGGCACCATCGCCAGAGGTATCTAAGGTTGCTCCATTACCAGTGGTACTGCGTCACTGATCTTCACCACCAAGTCGAATCACAGTCACGGCATCAACACATCGCCAGCTTCCATCCACCAACCGCAATCCACATTGCATCACTCATAACATTTGTGATTGCAAAAACCACATTGCGACAGAAACCGAGGTCCCTGTTTAAAACCTTATACCTATACCCAGTGAAGTTTATATTCTCATTACACTTACAAACAAAATGTAAATCCCAAAGGATATAACTGTAACGCACCTAACCCCAAAATGTAAACCTTATACCTAACTCCATTGCGGTCAAGGACGTAGATTTAAAACCTTGATAACTAGCAGCGGTTCAAAAAAAACAATTTGAAAAATAAAAATAAATAATAAACAGCAGAGTCACAAAACATGTGATGATGGAAACAATGACGCACCAGAGGCAAGGATGCTTTTGATATCCTTTGAAGAAGGGTTTTTGTTGTTTCCAAGCACGGCTAGCAAATAAGCAGCGATCACCTTCATTTTTCTGCAGAAATCAAGTCTCTTTCTAATTAATAATATTTTTAAACATTTAACAATATTTAGAGAAGAATAATGTCAAATGAAAAGAGAAACCTGCAAGAGAGGGAAGATATGAAGAGAGAACAAACGGCGATTTCAAACACAGAATAAGCAGGAGTGCTTGTTACTGTTATGTAACATGTTAGGGTTCCTTTTCACAGAAATGATATCTTGCTCTGTAGTGGGCCCAAAATGAGCCCAGATCAGATGACCCATATTTCGGTGTGCCTACTTTAAAACAGAACGAAATTCCTATATTTTACATGAACGTCCTCCATGTGTAAGAGTACTTTTTAATCAAACCCAATATATAATGATTGTAATATTCATGCAAAATTTTACACATAAAGTTATCGATCATTCATTTATATTGTATTTTTCAAGAAACAATAATGATAAAATATGAATGATAAATGATGTACTGACAATATATGAAACTCGTATGTTGGCACTGCATACATATTTAAGGATCCATTTGCATGTTTAGTTATGGTGGGAAGAAAAATGTTTGGGAGTCATAAAATACACATGTGAAATGACTAACAAATCTTCATCTTCTTTTATCCCCTCCAAATCTTAAACTTGGGAAGGATCTTAAGAGTATTGTTTAATAAATACAAATTAAGTTGCGAAACCATTTAATTGGAGATGTTGTGTAATATACTATTACAAAAAGCTAAAAAGGCAACATCTTCATATAATAGAATCGTCATAGGACTTTACCTACTCGTCATGCTATCTATAATAATTTCCCTACATAATTAATCTTAGTAGCAGCTTAAGCCAAAGTCACTAATCCATTTGACTTAGAAGCCTTCTTCTTTTGTTCTTTGCTTCTAATTAGTTTTGCAACAACTCATTTGCTTCAATTAAGCATATTTTTATTTTTATTTTATATCACAAAAGCAGAAACCAAGAACACCAAAAAAATACTAGAAAACTCTCAAAATTCATGTCTTCCCTTTCATGATTGGTTTTCTTGATTTATGTGTAAGCCATGTTGAGTATCATAAATGTCATGTCTTGATAGGCGTGCACTGTTAGGTTGATCTAATTATTCCTGAAGCCATTTCTCGTGGCTCTGACACATGGTGCCCATGTATTAGTCGAGGTTCCCTGCACCTCTATGATGGTCGGACATGTGTCCACTTCTTGTTCGGTCACCATCATTGTGTGTTACTAATCAGTTGCATTGAGTTAACAAGCCCCTTACAGTACATTAGAGTATGTCAGCCTACAATTATCAACACTTCTACAAGCACCTTTTTGACCTCTGCCCAACGAATCTAGGGTGGACACATGGCACTTTCTAGTCGGATTTATAAGGTATAGCAAACTTACTTTTATTCTAAACGTGTTTAGCACCACCTTGATTTAGTATTGCATTGAAAAATCCTAATTGTGGTTAGGTTTTTATCTTCACATATACAAGAGTCTTGGTTGGGAGTGATAAGTGGTTGGGGCCAGACCGTTAGAAGTGGTATCGTGTATCCACTAGACTCGGGTAGAAGGTAAAACCATCTTGGGGACTCTAGAGTCAAGAAGGGAGTCTTGTATCGATTTGGAAGTATGTTTGTAGAACATTTGATTTTCAAATAGTGTAGAAAAATGTCCCAAGATCCGAAGGGGAGGTCTGAATGTAGTTTGCACGTGGGCTCGCAAACGAACCAGGATAAAAGATCATTGTCTCCATCTTTCTCCATCCCTTATCTCTTTAATTTCAGTCAATTTACTATTTTCATATTTGAATTGTTTCACTTCCTGAATTTATCACATGTTCTTGGTTTTGTTGATAATTAGGCGTAAATTCATTAAGTGAATTGAATGTGTAATTGATTGATATTGTAGTTTCTTGTGTCGCAAGAAATCAGTTTTCAAAGAGTTCAAGACTCAAATTAATTGATTAAATCTGGTGGTAATCGATTAAAAACAAAAAAGACTTAATCGATTAAACACAGCATAATCGATTTTACTCATGATTTTTCAAATTACCTCATTAACCTGAAAAGCTAGAATTGTGATTCGCAACACCTATTCCACCGCTCCAGGTGTCTGAGAGCCCTTGTTATCTAACAATGGGCCTCCTAGATTTTTCTAGCTTTTGTAGGTTAATAGGTTGATGAGTTGGTCTCTTCTTATTTCTAACCTATGATATTTGGTTTCTTTCATTTCAAGATTTGATATAGTCTCGTGACCTAGAATTTTAGAAATTTCACCGAATTCCCTTTAAATATGCCTTAGTCCTTCGCCATAGGATTGTGACCTCTAGACTCTCTAAACCTTGTATGGGTACCTTATTTAGGACACGAGAAACAAATCATTTCCACTTTTTTATCCCTTCATATCATAAAATAAGACTTACTATTCCTAAATTAGATGAATCTATCATCAATGTGTGAGTGATATAATAATATCATTTATTTTACTTTGATGATCTTATGTAACATGGACCACTAATATCCATAACATATCTATCAATGGCTAATTATTTCATCAAATTGTCATGGTCTCCCTAACAATATATGGTTGGCTTCTGTGGGGCCCACATCACATAGGACCTTCTCCTCATACTTCCCTATAGAGAATGGAACCTTCACTTGCCTATCTACCATCATCTCCCCGACATCACTTAATGATTAGATTTGGTAAGGAGTGGGTTGTGGCTTAGTCACAAAGTTTAGTTTGGACACTAACCTTGAACTAACCATATTAGCACAACTATCACCATCAATGATCAAGGTGCAAATATTTCCTTCCAGCAATCACCTAGAATGGAATATCATTTGGCCCTCCTCATGCCCCTTGACTTGGCTCCCTAAGAGCCTTCTGATAATAAGTATGTCACCTTCCGATATGAAGACATCTCCTTCACATTCCTCTTTACTTGAAGCCTCGGATTAGAACTCCACTACTCC